ACACAGGGATTATTGTACTTGTAGGGCAGGATTTTGGCTATTAGTGGTGGGAGGGAATATGTGAATATAATTCACAATTGATTGGCTTAGGTGGGGTTGTTTTGGGCAGGAGAAAAGGGTGGGGTAGCAAGTTATTTGGAGGTATTTCCTGGGCTGGATATGGGGTAAAAACATGGGGAATTGAAGGGTGTGGGTGTGGGTCAGGGTGTCTTGGATTTTATGGCTGTTTGTTTAGCCAAGTTGAGGTGTAAAGGAGTGGTATTGGCAGGGTTGTGGCATGAGGTTTTTGGCCAGGGGTGGAGGAAAAATAAATGTAGTTTTGGGTTTATTATTTTGGATATTTTGGGGTTTGGATTGGATGAGAAAGGCTGGGCCTTTTAAGTTGGAGTTGGGCTCAGGGAAATTATGGCTATGTGGCGGGTTTTAGGATTGATAAGTTCGGTCCAAAAGGAATCATAACACTTAGCCATTATTCCGTTAATTTGTTTAACGACTTTAGAGTCGTTGGTAGTCGCCCGAGGTATATCAATGAGTATGACATTTTCCATTTTGAGAAAGGATATACGCGGATGATAGATATAACGTGTTTAGATTTCTTTCATGAAGACTTGCGTCGAATATATACTCTTAGACTTACTCTTGTCGTGGTGTAGGAGTTTCTAGAAGTTCTTATATGGGTTGCGTTTCGTGAATGTGGGGTAACTTGCAAAATTTCTCTTTTTGCAATTCTTCAAGAATCAATTTTAGACGACTTTGTTTGGAATGTTAGTTTTCACAAATTACACTTCGTTGTTTACGAGTTGGAACAGATTGTTTCGAAATTTGACGTTTTTACATAACAGTATTTTGGAGAATGACTATTACCATAGTCATCATTCTAAGTTTCTTGGATGAATATGTAATTATTGTTTCAAAATCTGAACTCTCATTTAGCGATCCTTAATGGAGTTGCTCTGGCTAAGATGATGTCAATAAGCTAACCAAAGCTTATTTGTAATAGTTAACAAATATATCACACTTATATATAACAATAATATATGTTTTTATCACATTGTAATGATTGGATGAAAATTTTGATACCACTTGTCATTTTGTCATTGTTTGTATTATCAAGATGATATATAGTCATTCTTGAATACTGATTTTTTTTATTGATGATTCCAGAACTACCTTGGAATTTCAGACTTTCTCAATAATTATGATAGAGCTTCGTGCTCAAAAATTATAATATTAGTGTATTCGTCATATCACTAATATTCTTACTTCACACAATAGTTGCATTACTTATTATCAAAAACATGATAAGTTATAGACATAGTTATATTCTAATATGTTTGGGATTCTACTGACACATGTGTGATTTCTCTTGATGGTCCGCCCAATTGACTTGGGTAGGGATCATATTCACCTTCAGTGTAGTCGTATTCACCACACAAGTGACAACTTTTCCTTTCTAGTTGTTGCACATGTGTTCCTTTGTTAGGGTCAAAGCAGAGTTTCTTGATCATCATTGATAATAATCTTCATAGATAACGTAGTCACATCAATCGTTACAGAGTATGGTTTTTGAAGATCGGTATCATAAAATATCTTCTTGGGTTTGAGGGAGAATTATGAGTTAAAACAAGTTCTCAATGATTTGATACAGAAAATGGAATTCAATCTTTTCAAGATTGATCAAGTGAGATGTTTCAAGTGTGTAATTAACACAACAAGTTTGAATATTTCAAGGATATAACTCACAGGATACAAATATAGCGTTTGCGAATTATCATGGCAAATCGTAGGTTTTCATCCTCTAACGTTTCACTCTTTGGAAGTTACTCAAGGGGTCATTGTCTTAGGTAAATGGTAATTTGACTTTTCGTCTCGGATTTGAACGTATTTTAGGGCAATGAGCCTAACTATTCATGAGTCTCAATATGTCATGTCGTTAGCAGACTATAGTATTGGCGAGTACATTCTTGTCGGGAACAAATCCTCTTTCCTGTATGTTTTTAGGCTGGTGATAATTACTTTTCCATCAATGGTCCAGTTTCAGAATCTATATATATCGAATTGTGGCAAGAGCGTCTCACATTATGGAAGGAACTTCTCGAGCTCTTCCAAATACCATAAGATTCGTTGGTCTACTTGGTAGTCATGCTCTAGGTAGCAATCCAAGGTTCATGGCTACAACGGTTGATCTATGATGTGAATTGGTAAGGCGAAAAATCAGGCTTACCTACGGAGGAGGCAACGTTGGCCTTCAAGGAGCTGTAGCTTCAACAGTCTATAATAATGGTGGTAGAGTCAGAGGTTTCATACCAGGGTATATAGCAACACGACAGGTTTACGGACCTACGTACGGTGTAGAGTACACCGTCTCCAGCAATTACTATAAGTATTTCGAGATGAATCATATTGTGGAAGCCTTCATTGTACTTCCTGGAGGGATTGACACTATGGAAGGTTTATTCACTTTGATCTCATGGGCATCCGAAGGGTTACATAGTAAACCCATTGGTCTTTTGAACATTAACGGTTATTTCAATAACCTAATCAAGTTTCTAGATGATGCGGTGAGGCAAACCTTCATGGCCTCGAATCAGAGGAAGCTGTTCATTTCTTCTTTCTTTGTTGATGAGCTTTTGGACAAGCTAGAGTTTACTAAGGCTTTCCCAGGTCCTGGTGCTAGTTATGAAGAGTTTGCAAATCCTGGAAGGTTAGACTTAGAGTTGCATTTGTAATATTTCCAAGTTGAAATAATATTGTCCATGTACATTACGTGTCAGTTATAAATATCGTTCTAAGCTGCATCACCAGTGCATTTCAGAAGAATATTTATTTCCAACATCAAAATGTACCATGTAAATATTAATCCTTTTCTTTATCTTCTAGTCTTTCACTGTTGGTGCGACTGTTTCACATCTTGTTTTGTACTGTCATCTTGTTGCGACCTTTTACATCAATAGGGTATACGAACGAGTCAATTATCTTAATATTTGTATGTAGATTCACTCCTATAAGGCGTTTCAGATTCAATACATATGTCGTATTCGATCTGGTTTGCGAGGCTCTATTCTTGTTCTTAGAAAACGATAGATTCACTTTTGGGCATTTGTTCACTTTCTATCGAAAAGGGTTCTTTCTTTAACGTATTCTTTGGATTGTGAGAAGTTGATTCACATCGTTCACTTAGCCATTCGCGTACTATGACATACGTATATGTTGCGCTTATCTGGTTTACAATTCCTTTCTTGATCTACTGATGTCGTCTGTGATCGTCGAAGAACATTTCGAGGCAATCTAAACATTATTGTAATCGAGTCTATGAGGATACTAGCAACTCAAAGGAAGCAAATGTTCGATGAGTTAAGTGCGTGTGTTATGCCATAATAACTTACTTGTTGATTACCTTCCCGGGGCAGAGATGTCGTGGAGGATGCGGATGCAGGACTTTCAAAATACTGACTCAATGATCCGAAAATCGTTTTGCTCTAATACCAAAATGTAACACCCCAATGCGTATAACCCGGAATTACACGAATTAAGGTGAAACGAGAGTTAAATAAAAATTTCACTTGACATTTGAATATGACAATTACTTAAAAATATTAAATTTACAGACTCTGGATCGCGACCCATTTAAAAATATTTTCAGAGTAATGCGGAAGTACAATAATAATCAAATCATGACACATTTTAAAATCTGTTGACCAAACATT